TTGTGTCCCAAGAAGATCTTATGGCTTTCAAGTTCATAAAAACAGTTCCCAATGTTTTTTCTAGTAGTTTATAGTTTTGGGCTTTTTAAAATATATTTGACTCAAAGATCCATCTGGAGTTTATTTGGGTCCACCGAAAAGTACTGGTCTTTTTTTTTTTTTTCTTCTCCACATAGATGGCTAATCGTGTCAGCATTGAAGATGTTGTTTCTTTCCTAAAACTTGAGAGGCTATTTCCATCATAAACCAAATTCCAGTATATTCTTGGGCCTGATTCTGTACTCTCTACTTTGGTTTATCTATTGATCTACTGAGGGCTGCCCCCACCCTGTTCTGCCACCTTATACTGATACATGGATAGTTAATCCAACATTTTTCCTGTCCCATTATCAGTGAAGCAAGTTCTTTCTCCGTCATAGCCAAAAAACACCAACAAGGCATGTCTCTGGCACGCAGCTCCCATCCAAGGCAGTGGTGAGAGATTTGCTACAAGGACTTAAACCCACCCAAGCAGCCACGCGACCCTTCTCCGTCCGCTTCCACTGCTGCAGCCCAAATTCCGGTCACTGAACTACTCCTTAAAATAAAGCTCAGCTGTAGATGGCACACCTGTTTTGGATTAGTTACAATAAGTCAGGATCTGTATTTATTTCAGTTGCCGGACAGGTGAGGAACAGGCTGCCTTTAGAGCAAGCCAAGTAGAAAGCAGAGAAACATCGAAATCATGAGGGGTTTTTCTCCCTCTTAGGGCAAAGGGGTTACACTTGATAAGCCCGACACTTCCTGTTACGTCCAGAATCCTGTGATTCTTTATGGGAACACCTCAGGTGGTAGTATTCACTCGAGATCGCGGTCTCATGAAGCCCATGGTTGGAACTGTACTGCCCATGAGAACCACCTCCAGCGCTGGTTCCACGTGCCGATTCAACAAGCCTGAGGTAAAATTGAGAGATCTAAACATGCACCATAGCAGGTGAATCTGGTGCAAATAACCCAGGCCCTCCGGGGGGAGCCGCACTGCCCTGAGCCCCGAGCAGAGGCAGGCCGTGGGCCCCGGGGCGTCTTGTGCTCCAGCACGGGATCTGTAACGGGTTACCCCTCTGAGATGGGTGAGTAGGGGAATGACGTCGCTGTGATGTAGATGCTGCATGGGTTCCTACGTGGTCTGTCCTAGGCCAAGGGGCCCCCGAAGCGCTGGGGTCAAGTAGAGAATCTTTTTTTTTTTTTTTTTAAAGATTTTATTTATTTATTTGAGAGAGAGCGAGAATGAGAGAGAGCACATGAGAGGGGGGAGGGTCAGAGGGAGAAGCAGACTCCCCGCCGAGCAGGGAGCCCGATGCGGGACTCGATCCCGGGACTCCAGGATCATGACCCGAGCCGAAGGCAGTCGCTTAACCAACTGAGCCACCCAGGCGCCCTCAAGTAGAGAATCTTGAGCTGGAAAGGGAAGAGCCTTCAACTCAACTTTTGCACGGGCAGCAGAAACTCTAGGCGTATTTGAATAAAATTAAAAATGAGGCCTGTCCTGCACTCCTCTCTCCTGAGATGGGCACTTTAGGCCGGTGGGTCTGAGGCCAGGTTGCACGCCCCCTCCCAGGCCCAGCCACGCTGGCGTGGAGATCCCCTTCCTGTCCCTGCGGCCTCAGCACCCTCCCACTTGCCTAACATGAGGGCTGCCAACGTTTCCACGCAGTTATCTGGTGTAGTTTAAATATCTGCCCTAGCAACCCACGGCCAACCTGGGCTGCCTCCCTGGACCGTCCAAGGGGACTTCCTGCACACATTTTTTTGCTTCTGTCTCTGGTTTTCCAATGACCAGTTTGTGAAGCGACCTGCAGGGAACGCTATTTTCCCCCAGAAGCCCTGATCATTGAAAGGCTGTGATTTTCGCAGAATAGGAGGTATTTCCGGAATGCATATATGTCACGAGAACAGCAACATCTTCTGGGTGGCGAATACCCACTGCCTGTTTCAAAAGTAGTACTGAATAACCTGGTGCTGGGCTCCTCAGTTAAGATTGGAGGGAAATCTGGGGCAAGGGGCTCCCGACTCACTGACAGAGTGCTTTCATGAGCTGTATAAACTTCAGCTCCCTGCAGGCTGCAGCCCTGCTCTTCGGGTCTTCAACCTGGAGCCTCCCAGGGCGACCCTTCCATTCCACTAAGGGCTGCAGGTCTACAAGCCTGAGCCCTAGGACCCTAGGACTACTGACGTCAGAACTTCCGGGGGTGGAGCCTAGGCATCTCTACATTTAGAAAATAACAGGGATGGTTCTAAAGCACAGCTAAGATTCTCAAATTTGTGGGTACAGAGAACCATCCGGGAGCTTTTAAAACCCCCAAGGCCCAAGCCACACTCAGACCAAATTACATCAGAATCTCTGGGGGCCAAACTCAGGAATCAGACTGTGTTAGGGTCCCAGCCAGCCAGCCAGACCTCTGGGTTAGGGTCTTTTCTAATCTGAGAAAGATCTCCCCTCTGTAGACCAGAGCTTCTGGAACTTCAGTGTGTATATGAATCACCCAGGAATCAGGTTAAAATGCAGATCCTGATTTCACGAGGCTGGGGCAGGGTTTGAGGGTCTGTACTTTGACAAGCTGGTCTGCAGACTGCACTGTGAGTAGCAGGGCTGGAGGTTCGAGTGAGTCTCCACTGATTATTTAACAATCGTTGAGTACAGTTAACCGCGGAGAGCCAAGGCACCAGCGGATCCTGCAGGTGCAGGGCAGTAACGGTATTTGGCAGAAGTGGCACGGTAGGCTTCGTGATTAAAAACAAAACAAATGTTTGTGTTACTTGCCGGGTCAACCGCAGGGTGGTGTTGACAAGAGGCCTGACTGCTGCTTGCTAAGAGTTGAGTAATTATAAACTTCGGCCCTTCCTATCATCGGTAGAGAGCTGGCTTATCCCCGTTTGAACAGTTGTTATTGGGGAGGGGGTGCATTTTATTATGCAGATGAACTCAAATCTCAGGTTGCTCTGTCCCAGAGATGAAAACTACGTTACAAGGAGGTTTAGATTATCTGCTCGATATTTTCCTTTTTTTTTTTTTTAAAGATTTTATCTATTTATTAGAGAGAGTGCACACGCAGGGGGAGGGGCAGGCAGAGGGAGAAGCGGGGTCCCCACCGAGCAGGGAGCCCAAAGCAGGACTCTATCCCAGGACTCCGGGATCATGACCTGAGCTGAAGGAAGACGCTTAACTGACTGAGCCACCCAGGTGTCCCTGCTTGATATTTTCCTATGCTAAAAAATATATCTATTTACTGGAGACCTACTATGTGTCCTGCCCGTGACTGGATGGCCATGCCCATTTCAAGCTGCCATATACTGTGTTATTGTACCACCTGCCTAGCTACTAGGCTGAACTCCAATTAGCATGAAGTTTCACACTGCATTTATCACACAAGCCCACACAGATGATAAATTTTGAGAGATCTTCATGCGCGTGTGTGCGTGCGCACACACACAAGTAAAACTGGGAAAATCTGAATAAGATCACTAGATGGTATGAGTATCAATATCTTGGTTGTGACATTGTGCTATAATGTTACAAAATGTTACTGTAGGGGAAACCGGGGCAACGGGTATAACGATCTCTCATGCTGTTTCTGACAACTGTGTGTGCATGTACAATTATCTCAATGAAAATTTCAATTAAAAAAGGTATAAAACCACTCACAGCCAGCCCTCGGTATGTCTTTAATATGGGGGAAAAGGACAGAGTATTAAGGAAGTAAATAACAGGGAGGCCTGGCTGGGTCAATCAGTAGAGAATGCAACTCTTCATCTTGGGGCTGTGAGTTTGAGCCCCGTGTTGGGTGTAGAGATTAATTTTAAGTAAAAATAAAATCTTTTTTAAAAAAGTAACCAAAATAAAAATAACACTCATTAAATGTTAACTGCAAAATAGGTACTATGATAAGCATTTTTCATGCAAGACTTTAATCCTCACAACACTCTATAAGGTATTATTATTATTATTATCATTTCTGTTTTCTGTTTTAGATGAGGAAACTGGGCCTGGGAGAGCTTAGGTCGTTTTTCCCAAGGTCACAGAATCAGAAAGTAGTAGGGCAGGACCCAGACTCAGGTCCAGAGCCTTACACAGAGTATGCGAACAAGAATGCTGGGTTTCTGTGGAAAGAGAAATCATAGTTAGGGATGAGGATTGTGCTTCGGGGGTGAGGTGCATCTGAAGTACCTTGCAGGATCTTGGCCTTGAAAGACGAAAGGAGCTGATCTGGCAACAAGCCAAGCGAGGGCATTCCAGGCAGGAAGACAGAAGAAACACCACACACCTGAGAGAAAGTTTCGTTCTCCAGATGAAGAAACTGGTGTGTTTGTCTGCTTTGCCACTCAGAGGCAGATGGAAGCAATATGGCAGAGGGTCTTGAATGTTAGGGGAATGTGGTAATGTCTTCCTGGGTCTAGGCAGCGATCTGGGAAAGCTAACAAGGCACTGATGAGGCCAAGGTTATGTGTGAATCGCCAGCATACACAAAGGAACCCAAGTGCAAGGTGTTTACACTTTACTACAAAATAATCCATTCCCAGGGCCCAGAGAGCAATGGAAGCAATTTGGTAGTGGAAAATTGGTACGTGAAGAGAACCAAAGAAAGTATTTATGACACCAAAGGCCATAAAGTGGTTGAGACCAATGATCATTACGGAATTAATGGAATTAAATCTTGTCTCATGTGGCTACTTATTCTTTCAATTCTTGAGTGCCTACTATGTGGCCAGCATGATTCCAAGGACATGGGACCTATCCATGAATAAAATACAGTGACCAAACTCCCTGCTGTCAAGGAGCTCACCTGCTATGCTTAGTGTTGATTCCTGATCAGGAAGGTTCTTAACTCTCAAAACCTAAGATTATACTTTCATACTGTACACTTGAGATCCCACGACCCCAGAGAGAAATGCAAATCTCTCTGGGGTGCAGCTGGGCAGTGATGCAGAAGGACAGACAGCACTTCTGATTTAAGAGTGAGGATGATCTTACCCCAGCGTGGCTAGAAGGAAACTTAAGATGGGCAGGTCGTCAGGCCTTGCCTCTGAGTTGGCTCATAAAAGCAAGAGCAAAACCAAGGTGAAGGATTGGCAGTGTGATCCTTGAAGATGATTCAAGTTAGCCTGGGGTACCCTCTCTGTTTTCCACTCCAAACTGGGATTAACTTTGGAATCTTCCATAAATGGAGAGAAACTGGGGGCTTTCCAATCCTAGCCTGGGTAAATACTATTTCCACACAAATCAGCACAAGATGGTCTTACATTGTAAAAGCAGGAGGGGAAGACAGGAGGTAAATACACCTGCAGATCTATGTTTAGGCAGGAGATATTCTATAATATAGCCTTGTTCTTCAAATGCAGAATTAGAGGTATGGACTTTTCCTCAGAATGCTAAAATATACAGATGAAGACAACCTACTAAAAGATACGCTGATGGTCACTGTTTCTACAAAAAGACACCTAAAGGTAAGTGCATCAGGCAAGAGTCAAGAGTGGGCAGATTTATGAATATTACCCCCCAACCAAGGATTTTTAACCATTTCGAATTTTAAGATCCCACAAGCGTCAGGTGTCTGAGAATAAATATTTAAAATGTCTTTTTGACTTATCGAAGGATTCACCAACTTTTTTTTCAGCAGTACTTTTAGAAAGTCTGATTTAGCTCCCAGGGAGCTTCTCATGCTTTTGTGTCACATTTAGAATGATATTTAAGCCCTTTGCTGTAAATTTGGCTTATATTGTCTATGCATGTAAGGGACATAGGCATCTCCTACAGTTAGTAACTTTCTACATGGATAAAAGAATTTGCTCTCACTATGCCCCTGGCCCTGGGGCAGAATTTTCCCGCTTTAGTTAAGGGAAAATAAATGCCACAGATACAGAGCTCCTATTTCTAACTTCAGGTTGCACAGAACCGCCCCTGGATCTCCAACTTCCATTCACGTTTCTGGTCACCCTTGAGTGAGAGGCTGGCTCTGCTACTGAAAACAGCCAAGTGAGAGACAGCCCAACTACCTGCAGAATGCAAGCTTCCTAAAAAGTCACCTTTATGGGTCTGAGGTTATTGCTGGAGTCATGCCACAAAACACAAAACACGCACCTCAGACCCGGAGCCGATAGCTGGAGAGGTGAGTGTGTGGGAGTGTACAAGCAAGAGTCCCACAAGAACTTTGATGGAGACAAGAATGTGCACCAGACAGACGACTGTGGTTCCCGAGATGGCCCATTTTATTTAGCTGCATGGAGCTTGCTGCTACCAGGACTCCCGATCTCAGAATTCAGTTTAGGGTGCAAGCCGAGGATGACAAAGGGGGCTCCTTCCTTTAGCTCCTCTCATTGTTGGCAGTTGAGGAAGCTAGATATTGTCTCCCCCAGTGGTGGGTCTAAAACTAACATTGTCACCAGCCTCCTCCCCTCCAAGTATTCTTCCTTGGCCACTTTACCCCCCTCACCCCCCCCACCTTTAATCAGGAAGATAATTTGCCCAGTGAAATGCTCAATGTGGATAAACAACTGTAACAAGGTACTTAGCTGAGCCAGGAAGAGCGTTTTATGAATAGAAAAGGAAATGCTATGTGTACTGACATGAAAAAATTAACACTGCAACTTCATTTTGTATTAACCTTTGGCTAAACCACCTCCATAAACCTATCCTGGGCAGGCATCTGTGGTCATTGGCATGTGATCACCCCAGTGGTAGGTGTTAAACAACCAAATAGCATAAAGCTGGCTCTCCTGCAAAAAGTAAAGTATAAATGTGACTTTTATGGGGCAGAGAATTTGCTCAGGAAAAAGCTACCTCAGATCTGGAGATTTTTAGATTGGCTACTTTATGACTGGGTCTTTAGAAACCAATGTATTACATGTTTACTTTTTCATAGCTAGAGTTCAGTAACTGAATGCATTTGGGAATATTTCATTTTCTTTGGAGTATGTCCAATCTGTAAAAACAACACTAGGTTCCTACTCTGAAGTTGGGGGGAGAGAGAACACAGGTCTAGTAAGAATAATTGAATAACTTTTCTTAGGTAGTTATCTACAAAAATAAAGTCTTGACCATACAGCACAACATCAGTCCAAAACCCATTCGGGACCGTTTAAAATTAAAAATACAAGAAATTCACATATCAAACACAATATCTTTTGTGCCCTATTTCTTTTAATTCCATCTCTTTCAAATAAACCCCCCACAATCAGTAATAGGGTGAAACAAATTTATTTCCTGGCAGTGTTTCCTTAGCCTCTTTCATACTTTGTGATCTAAGAAAAACAAAACAAACATTCGTTCACGAATCCACTTTGACTTTTGGGCACAGAAAACCAACTCTGTCCCCCTTCTCCAGCACCGTGAAAGCGGACTCTACAAATCACTGAGACACACCAAGATCTTTCATTTTTACGATGAATTCTGATTAAAGCCAGCACTTACCGTTTTCAAAGGGCTCCTGAAAAATGACCACAGAGAATTTTTTTTTCCCTTTTAAAGTCTTCACCCAACACATTTGCTTGAAAAACGTTCTGAATAGGGACATGGCCTGGTAAAACACATGCAGTCGACAAAATATCGAATTTCTTTTTCCAGCTGTCTGGAATCCCATTAGTGCCTCTCACTTCTGTCTTTGGCTATAATTAGGATGGCTTAGGGTTTATCTGGGCCTTTTTTCAAAACCAGATCTCCTTCCCAGCAGCAGCGGTTACTCCTAGCTTCTGATTTACACTGTGGTACGGTGATCGTGAATATAAAGGGAAGACACACACACACACACACACACACACACACACCTTCCATCTAGTAATTTTTAAAAAAGAGGAGCCTTACCTGAGGATGAGCCCTGCAGTCTGGAGCTCTGCTCGTTTCAAGTAGGTTCTGGACCGGTACCCCTTCTCCCGAGAAGCCTGAGTTCCCTCCTCGGGGCAGTGAGCCCGGGGCAGTTTGCAGGGGTTTTGCTTCTTGCTTGGTTTTGGCTGCAGCGGCAGATTCTCCTTCAGGGAACTGGGAATTCCACTCGGCAGCTTGTACTCCGGCATGAGAACCGTCTCTTTTATCACTCTGGGTTAGTGGGTGCTTAACAGGTTCTTTGGGATAGAGGAGATTAAGGGTGCCTTCTGTTGCGCTTTCTTTCCGGTTGGAGCTCAGCTTTTTGGGTTTTCCTCTCATGCCGGGCCGCCTCACCCTGGCAGGTTTCTCTGAGCCCCTCTTGGTCAATGAACCCTCATCCCTTACTTTTTCCTCGGCTGCGATCTCCAACCACTGGTTCGCCCCTGACTTTTCTAACTCACCAGACAAGCGCTTCATCGCCGTCTCTATCACTGCTTTATCCATGTTTAGCAGATTGTCACTGGTGAATTCCTCTCCTCCCTGGTGGCTGTCTCTGGTTTCTCTTCGAATTCCTGGATAATCATTTTCAGCGGCCTCAGAAGCAGTGGGTGGTTTATATCTCCCCTGGTCTGTCACAGTAGACGTTGTGTCCCGGTGAGGTCCCAAAGTCAGAATCATCCCCGTTTGCAGGGATGAGGGACTGTGGGTGGAGGCTTGGCTGCTCCTCACCCCCACTTCTTGGGGTTGTGAGTGATAACCACAGAAGCCAGTGGTGGCATCCATAGGCCTGGTGTCATCCGACACCCAAGGCCCACAACCCATTTCACTGAGGAGATGCTCACACCCACCCAGGCAACACGCACTGAATTCCATCTCTTCGTCATCGCTTTCTAATAAAAAAACATGCTCAGTCCCCTGCAGGTTCCTTTGCCAAACTGCATTAGAGTAATCTGTCATAACGTCGGAACATTCCAGATACTCTAGGTCATCATCTGAAAACTCCTCGGTGCAGGTTAGGGTTATCTCTGGGCAAAGTTCATAGTCACTGTCAGAGTCTTCGCTGGACACCTGTGGGCTGACTTGCTGCTTGATCGTGGCCCTGTCCCCTGGGCAGACAGATGCGGTCGCCTCCGACAGGGGCCGGCTGAAGCTGATGTATTTCTGCACTTTGGGCTCCGCTTGCCCAGAGTCTGAGACTTCCTCATGAGGGCCATCACTGTTTAAGGCACCATCCGTTAGCCTCGATACTTTGGAATGCACGGTCCTGTGGCAAGAGATGTTTTGTTTAGCGGGAATATAACTTGAATTAGAGAAAAGCAACCCATCTGCAACCTCCTCTGCATCATCCGGATCATGAGCCTCTTCCGTTGGCCTCGTTCCTTTAACATCCAAGGGATTTTCAGGACTGGAGGCCCTAGTGCCCCTATTGACCAAAAACTGGAGTGAGCATAGACAGCTGAGTTTGGAGGAGAGGGCATCAGCTGACATGGGAGTACCTGCAGAGATACTTTCTTCCCCCTTGCAAGGATGTTCTTTCTCATCGAGCTGATTTGTTTTCTCCTGTGCACATGCCTTTGTTGCATGTTTCCAGCCCGTGCCCCCGCCATCTTTCGGGCTGGGAGAGAGCTCTGGGTTCTCTGCTGAGCACAGGACTTCAACAGACGCAGAGCAGCAAATCATTCCGGAACAGTTTTTAGCGGAGATTTGGTAAACAGCAGCGTCATCTGGGGTACAGCTAGGAGGAAGAGAATACACAGGTAAGTTTGCCGGGTTTGGACGGACATGCCAACCTTTCTCATGTCATGGCACACAGAAAACCACCATGGTTTTTGCTCCCCCCGCAAAGAGATCTGTGGTCTCCCTGCAAAGGGGCTCGTGGTCAGAGGCAACCAGCTCGAGTTCCAGTTGCCCTCGAGCTGAGAACCCAGGAAGCTCAGCATTTTCCCTTAGAACTTTCCACAATATTACCCCAACTTGAAAACTGCTGAGAATTATTCAGATGAATGGGGAAGCTTCCAGTATTCTAGTTCCTTCTTCTCTCCTTTTAAGTCTTTTTTTATGCTATGGGAATTTGAAAAAAAAACATCATTTTCTGGAGTGAGACATGGTACACAAACAACTGAAGAATTCGACCCCCTGCAGTGGAACAGCATAAGCAATAACTCTTTTTAAGCCTGTGCTGAGAAGGCAAGGTTCTTGCCAGGAGGCTGTAAAGGTACCACACTGGGATTATGTGTATGAAGAATGGTGCCATTTCTCTTCATTTTACATGACTATGAAGCCTAAACCCCACCCCATGAGCCCCTCTGGCTGGAAACCCATGTTCACATGCCATCCTGACTTACACAGGCCAAGTCAGGTGTTTGTCTTGGGCCCAGCAGGGAAGAAACTGAATCCTGGATCATGCTGAGCCTGCTCTCCCTGCTCCAGGAGAGATGGTATTCCTGTGGCCCCTCCCTTTATTGACTCAAGTCTAACAGGCTTTGCTGACCTTTCCCACTAGGGCCTCCAGGCTCTGCAGTCCCAATAAAAACTTGTAACACTTGCTTTATAATTTGCACTGCTTTATTCATTTGACCTCAGTGTAGCTATAACATTGCTGGTCTCACTAGATGCATTATCCAGCTCAGAAGTCAATCAGCATTTTCAGAAGGCAGGAGCTGTGGTCTGGCCAGAATTAGAGGTGATGTTTAGATATTTATTGACTGATTTACATAAAATGTGCACCAATATCTAACCTAGAAGGGTCATTGTTAGACACTCAATGGCACACAGTCTTTCTTACTCGCTTTCTTCTCGCCGAAGGCGTCCCTCTGTCTCCCCAAGCTCATATGTGCTCATAAGCCCTCAATAGTTGGGTGCTTGGGGCACCTGGGTGGCTCAGTTGGTTAAGCGTCTGCCTTCGGCTCAGGTCATGATCTCAAGGTCCTGGGATCGAGCCCCACATTGGGCTCTCTGCTTAGCAGGGAGCCTGCTTCCCCCTCTCTCTCTGCCTGCCTCTCTGCCTACTTGTGATCTCTCTGCCTCTGTCAAATAAATAAATAAAATCTAAAAAAAAAAAAAATAGTTGGGTGCTTGCTCACACACACCTCATTTTCAAAAATCATAGACTAATTCCAATTTTGTTAATATCTTGGTTTTTAATAATCTGGTTCCCAAGTAGAAGCCAATCAGGGGTGGCTGAGGCTGGCCACAGCTGATATTCGGATTTGTCTTGGCCAACAACATGCGGAGACTGAAATTTAGGGTAACTTTCTAGAGGAAAAGTACCTGCCCCTCCTGTCTACAAATGAGAAAATCAATGTGAAGGGGCTTGGCAAAGCAGAAACTTTATGCCACATATATTCTATAAGAATGTGGAAGTGCTAAAATGATATTTACATGGTCTGATAGAGACATTAGCTAACACTGCTATGGCAATCATAAATGCATCAAATCAATATGCTGTACACCTTAAAACATACACAATGTTGTATGTCAAATATAACTCAATTTAAAAAAAAAAATGTGAGAGTGCTGAGACCAGATTACCTTGGGTTCTCAAGAAGTGTGCAGAAGAAGCATCAGGAAACTCTATTTAAAATTTTTGAATCAGAATCCATGGGTAAAAGCCCCGAGAATCTGCTTTTAAAGATTCTAAACAGGGGCGCCTGGGTGGCTCAGTCGATTGAGCATCCGACTCTTGATTTCGGGTAGGGTTGTGTTAGAGCCCCGTGTTAGGCTCCCTGCTCGGTGGGGAGTCTGCTTCTCCCTCTCCCTCTGCCCCCCCCAAATAAATAAATAAATCTTTAAAAAAGAAAAAAAGAGATCCCAAACACATTCTGCTACAAATTGTCCTGGGCCCACCCTTAGAGACAGCCTCATCCTCATCCTCATTACTTACACGTAGGTCTCCTCAGTTGAGCTGAATTAAAGCTGAATGAAGAGAAAGAGGCCTTCGTTTGAGCTTCACATGGCCCACACCACTGCCCGCTTGCCTCTTTTCCATTAGTTCTTGGAGACCTGGCCTCAGATAGGAACTTACAAGGAGCATAGAATAGTACCGTGGGCTACTGGGAAATCCCAAGTAATTCTGATTTCCTGATTTATCCAGACATGATCCCTATGCCAGAGAAACCACCTGCCCCGCAAGTACCAAGCCTTGTGTGGAAAGAACAGAAAGGGAGAGAAGGAAATAAGGTGGAGAGGCCAAAGGACCAGGTAAGAAAGCATTCAAGGTGGGGAACAGGGATGGTTCTCAAGAACCAAGGATGGAAAACCAAAGAAATTTTAGAAAAAATATCGAGAAAATAATTGGGTTAAATATATTTCACTTCTGAATGACTAAATAAGCAAATGGGAGAACGTTATGATTTAGTAATGTATGATTTTATGGAGTATGTGTTTCAGCCAATAGAAGATTTAAATCATCGTATGTCTACTAAAGAGGAAAAAGCATAACTGACCTCTCAGAAGTTAATTAAGTAGAGTTCTTCTCACCGGCTAATGACCTCTTTTCAGAGACTTATGGTTTGTGGTTGACACGTCCTTGATCATTATCTCTAAGCATCTTAAAGAAGAGAGGGAGAACATTCGGCCAGGAGCACTACATTTGTTGAATGTCCCCTCTAGTAAACCATGTGCGTGTTGTTCCCTGCATGCAAAATTGAGGCTCAAAGGGGTTGACTAATTTCCCCGAAGTGACAAAGTTGGTAAGTGGTGGAGCTGGGCTAGGAAACCAGAGCCTTCCACTCTGAAGCCGGGCTCAGTACGTCATGTTAGAAAACTCCCATTCAGAAAAAGGAAGTGACAGATGTAGAGCAATCATTTTTACAAATGTTTCTGTCCTAAGTGTTCATCTGCATCGGTCAACTGACACACTCTTGAAGACTTTGTTCTGGTGCCCGGTATTATGTTGAGTGCCGAGCAAGAGTCAAGGAGATGCATGCCACGTCATGTCCAGCGCTAAAATGACTGAAAGTCTACTGGGGGAAATAGTCTGAATTTCTGTGAGAACCTTGTAGGTCAGTTCTGTGCTAAGTTGTCAGGTGGAAACTGGAAGAGCAAGGGAAGCTCAAAGAGGGGACTCCAGTAGGAGCAGCTAAAATGGTGTGAGTAGTGCTGGGCTTTAGAATCTGCAAGATGCTGGCAGAGTGACCTGTGTGCCCCACAGTATTTGACAGGAATGCAAAAGCTTCCCGGAAGAAATTCCCTGAACAATTAATTGTATTCCCTCCTGCATATCTTTCCTTTTGGAGGAAGGAAGCAACAGCATTCCTCCCCCTTGCTGTGAAAGTCTTGCTAGAGTACTCTACGTTCTTTCTAAATTAATCATTTCCATATTAAAGAAAGAGAGGCACATGTGACCTTAAGTGGATGGGGCTTCTTCTGGGCTTGAACCTCCTGGGTTGGTCTAAACCAGAGGTTCTTAAATATTTGGGCAGCAGGACCCCTTTATACACTCTGAAAAACAATTGAGGACTCCCAAGAATGTTTGTTTATGAGGGTTATATCTATCAATATTTACCATATTAAAATTAAAACTGAGAGGGGCACCTGGGTGGCTCAGTTGGTTAAGCGACTGCCTTCGGCTCAAGTCATGATCCTGGAGTCCCGGGATCGAGTCCCACATCGGGCTCCCTGCTCAGCAGGGAGTCTGCTTCTCCCTCTGGCCCTCTTCCCTCTCATGCTCTCTGTCTCTCATTCTCTCTCGCAAATAAATAAAATCCTAAAAAAAAAAAAATTAAAACTGAGAAAAATTGATAATGTTTATTCATTTAAAAATAACAAAAATAAGCTCATTACATGTGAGCATGGAGAGCATTTATTTACATGCTACCTATATTTTTCCTAAACAAAGTAAAATTTCATAAGAATGGCATTGCTTTACATTTTTCACACATCTAATATCTGGCCTAATAAAAGACAGCTTTTTTTTTTTTTATCTGCTTCTGCATTGTGACGCAATACTTTGGTCTGGTTGAAGTATAGGGAGAAAATCTGGCCTCGTGCAGATATGCAGTTGGAAAAGGAAGAGTATTTTAATAGTCTTTTCATATGATTGCAGATAATCTTCATTACTATACAAAGAGTGGTTGCAATGTGGAATCTGAAACCCTATCATCTAGTTACATAAAATCCATTCATCTAGACTGCATTTTACATGCATTTTTACCCATATGTGATTTTGTAACATCATGTATTGTTCATCTGGAGGAACTTGGTTCATGAGATCTTCTAAACATTACCACATTTCATTATATAATATTTTTTAAAAATCACATTAATTAATATTCCTACTGATCTTTCCAGAATAATTTGGAAGTACTGGCAAACTGTCAAGCTTCTGATGAAGGATACAAGTTTTTGAAATTTCTAGTTAGGGAAATAATACCAATATTAATTGATCATAACTGTGTAAGTCAATTCTGTGCTAAGTTGCTTGGTAGCAATGGAAAGATGGAGGACATCAGTAAAATGGCAGAGTAAAGACTTCTGAAAATTTTCTCCTCCATAAAAGCAACAAGAATGCTGGCAAAATGTGTCCGAATCAACTTTTTCAGAATTCTGAAAAATAACCAAGGACAATCTGAGGGGGATTTATTCAAGATAAATGACTGAATCTCAGGAAGAATAGCAAATTTTCTGGTGTTGTAACTTCCCCTGTCCTATCCCTCACCCCCACCTCCATGGAGTCCTGTAAACCAAGTGTTCACAATCATGGTGAAAATCAGCAGTCTGGCAGCCACAGAAGGGGCAGAACACGGTTGAAGCAACTCCAAAGCCCCCATTCCCAGGGAATTGTCATCTGATCTGTCTGCTGGCTCCCTGATCACACGTACAAGACTGTGTTTATGTGTCCTGATTCAGAGTTCAACTAGACTGAAGAACATTTTCCCTGAAACATTTGTCAGGAAAAAAATTCAGAGGCAACTGTTTAACATGATGGCTGCCTGAGGCGGTGGATAACTGGCAAGACAAACAACAGGCTAACCAGAAAGATTAAAAGGGAAAGCTAGGGAATGAGATGTCCATAGGGGGCATTGAAAAGCTCCAACATGTTTCTGGGAATCGAGAAGGCCATGCACATGTGTATGGCTGTGAGCATGTCCACGGCTGTATGCATGCTCAGGAAAGACCTGAGAAGACATTAAGCTCTCAATTCTAACTGACCTGAAGGCTTCGTGCTAGCAGGAAGTGAAGGCTAAGACAGAGTTCTCCACTGCTTGGCTGAGTATTGAAGGCATGCCCCAACATGTGCACAGAGCCTCTCAACAAAAACTGGGAGACTTACTTGTTCCAGGCATCTAAGAAAATCTCCATCTAGTCATTAGTCAACCACTAAGTTAAACTGAGCAGAGACTTCAGTGACCACAAACAATAAAGAACACTGACTGAAAGAATTAGTTCAGAAAAGTCACTAAACAAACAAATAACAACAAGCCCTGGGAAAGGGGGAGAATCTGTTTCCCAGAGTTGCCACATTCTATTGTTTAAAATGTCCAGTCTTTGCAAAACAATTAGAGACATGCAAAGACAGAATAAAGCATGACCCATACATGGTCATGGGGAAGGGGAGAAGCAGTCAACAGAAACCATCTCTGGACTTGCTAGATAAAGATTTTAATTAGCTCTTTTAAGAACTAAAGGAAGCTATATCTAAAGAACTAAAGGAAAATGTGAGAACAATGTCTCAATAAAGACACAGAAATTGTAAATAAGAACAATATAGAAATCCTGAAGTTGAAAAGTATAATAACTGACATGAAAAATTCACTAGAGGGCTCAAGAGCAGAGATGAGCAGAAAGAATAAAGAGTCCATGAACTTGAATATGATTGATTAAGACTACCCAGTCTTCAGAACAGAAAGAAAAAAGAATGGAAAAAAGTGGACAGCATCTCAGAGACAACATATGCACAAAGGGAGTCCCAGAAGGAGATGAAAAAGGCAGAAAGAATAGCTGAAGAAAGTGGAAGTTCTTAGTTCAGAGAAGGGACTGCGGTGATAGCTTGAAAGCTTGGATTTTTTTTTAATTGTGGTATAACTGACATATAACATTACATTAGTTTCAGGTGTACAAAATAATGATTCGATATTTGTATACCTTGTAAATGATCACTGCAATAAGTCTAGTTAACAACAATCACCACATATGGTTACAAATTTCTTTTTCTTGTCATGAGAACTTTTAAGATCTACTCTCTTAGCAACTTTCAAATACACAATACAACATTATTAACTATAGTCACCGTGCTGTACACAACATTTTCAGGATTTACTTATTTTATAGCTGGAAGTTTGTACCTTTTTAAAAAGTTTGGATTTTTATCACTAGCAACAAATGCTATAAGTTTTCCTTGAAGTGGCAGGTCTACTTTGTTAATTTTCAGGACAATATTTGCCAAATATCCGAGGCTGGATAATCATCATTTGTTCATTGTTCTTCCAAGTAAAAATTGTACTCCATGAAAAAGTGGCTAGTTCAGTTTGCAACTTAAACAATCATACAGGTGCTTTCCCTCAAGATGACTATCATCTTAAGGAAATCCAGCAGAGATGCTCTGGGCATACTTCCCATTTCCTTACAGGGCAGAAAAAGGGCTTTGTCAAGATTTAATGAAATTAACCATTTTTATTGATGCATCCGAAACATTATCAAGCAAAATGTTTTGGGTTTTGGTTTGTTTTTAACTGAGGCTGTATGGCAGTGAAGAATTCTATGACAACTAGTATAATTTGGGACCACTGCCTAGATTCATGCTAAACCACCAACAGTTTTACCATCTATTGCTTTTTATCATCACTCCATATGTCAACACAGTGAAAAAGACAAATAATGTTTCAGTATTTTTGTGGTAATAGTTTTGATCTGGCAGATCCTCTGAAAGGTCATTAGGTACCCCCAGGGGTCCATGGACCACACTTTGAAAACCACTAATTAAAGCTATTCACTGAGGGAAGCTTTAAAATGCTCTCAGCATTCTCCCATGGGAAAACACCTGACAGAGGAGTGCTCTTGCACTCTGGAAGATGGGCAGCTGCATGGAGAGCTGACGTTTTGCTCGGTATAATCATTTAGGTGCTCCCTTAGGCAGACGACTTCATCTCTTTGGGCCTCAATTTCCTGACTTACAAAGAGGAAGAAGACCTATGTCTGGGTCCCACCCCCCTAGAGATTCTGATTTAATGCTCAGTACCTGGGTCTACATGATTTAATTTGGGGCAGGAGAAGGCTGGGTCCATCAATGCAGGAGTGGAAGGGGGGCGCTAACCTTAGAAGTTCCTCAGGATCTTGCCAACTTAGGATGGTTTTGTGCTTTGGGAACAGGATTATAAATGTGAGTGAGAACTAAGAGTACATAAGAACATGAAAATAGGGCAAATAAGAACATGAAAATAGAAGGTTTGGGAATAGAATGTAACAGGTGCAAAAAGAAGACAAGGAATCAATTTTTTTCTCTAGCTACCAGCACAACAGACTTATGAGACCTGATAGTCTTTGAAATCCCTACATTCCAATCCCCACCCTTACTGCCCCCTCAGGGGGTTGGGTTTTCACACACACTCCTATTCATTCACCACCCCACTGACACAAATAAAATAGAATGACTTACACCCATGTGGACTGAAAAGTGGATTTCCCCCGCTCAAGTAGTTGCTTCTCTTCTCTCTTTTGTCTCCTGGAGGTCATTCCCCTGCTCCCCAGAAAACTCTCCCAACAAGATTAAAATTGCTGAAACAAACCCTGCAATCTGACCAGACACCCTGAGGACAGAGTTTGTGGGAGAGGAAGCTCAAGCTATTGGCTGGAGGTAAGACATGAAATCCTCTCTGGGCTTCAGGTATTGTTCTGTTTTACTATGTGCCACTTTCCAGTGGAGGAAAACAATCTCTGGGAACAAAATGTCTGCAGCCAGGAATGCGGGGGGTGGGGAGGCCTCCAAAGCACCCCCCCCCCACTCCCTCCCCCACTGTGGATTTTCTGAGCCTTGCCTGCCTGTGCAGCAGGGAGGAAGGAGAGCGCCTGGTTCAATAAATACACAAGGACACCCATGTCCTTGCCACCATCCCAGCGCCAGGTGGGGTGAAGCTCAAAATATTTTCTTACACTAAGTGTATCTTATTACTTGCCTAACTGCTACTATCAATTTGATTGATTGAATTATTCAGAATGACTAAAGGAATAAGAAAGGCTTGGGTTTTTTCACGCCCCAAAGCTGTTTGTTGTAGAGATGGGAAAACTCTAACACTAGAAACACACACAACTTCTTGATCGTATTTTCTACAAGCAACTAGACACATTTCAAAAACTGATGAGGAGTTTCCATATACATTTACCAGTTTACTCATTTATCCAATGGATTTACTGAACCGCAAGTCTGAAGACTGAAAGACTACTTGGAGTTGTGCAGCTCCTGGGCCCACCTGCCTCCCTCCCCCTGCGCCCTTCCCTGTTCTGCTCTGTCTCCCGGAGCTGACCCTTGAGGCCCAGGCTCCCCAGCTCCCGGGACCACTGGCTTCCTGCTGCATTGGACCACAGAGAGGCAGGAGCCTGGAGAGTGGGGAGAAGGGAAAAGTCACCCTCCGGTGGGATTTCTAAGAGGACATCCCTCTGTCATCATCAGTAGCTCCAGGTCCCACGGGACAGGCCCACCAGGGTTCCAGCTTTTGCCCTGTGACCCGGAACTAGTCGTCCTGCCGCCTCCCTTCACTCTCAAAGCCTAGGGAATGGTAGCTTCCTGCTGATGCTCATCTCTGGGTGACCCATGTTTGGTTCAATCACTTGTACAACCCCATATTGAATGCCTGAAAATAGTTTTTGTCTTCCTGGTTAGACCCTGACGGATAGAGAGATGATGTAGTTCACTGACGTTGGAACTGAGGCCCTGAGAAGATGTGTCTTACGTACCAGTTAAAATATTGTAAGAAATGTCTACCGCGTGTAAGGCACTGTGCTAGGCTCTGTATAGACAATACAGGTGGTAAATTCCTAGGCCCTTCCTAGGAGCTTCTCAGCCAATAAGAGAAATGAGGTATTTATACCAATGGCTATAACACAGGATGGTACATGCTAAGGGCTATTAAAAATCCGACCAATTATGAAGGTTCGGGTCAGGGGGTGCAAGATAACGAGGGAAGGTTTCCTGGGTATTTAAAAGCTGAAGCAGGGGCGCCTGGGTGGCTCAGTCAGTGAAACGTCTGCCTTTGGCTCAGGTCATGATCCCAGGGTTCTGGAGTTGAGTCCCATGTTGGGCTCCCTGCTCAGCGGGGAGTCTGCTTCTCTGCCCCTCCCATGGCTTGTGCTCTCTCTCCTGCTCACTCTCTCTCTCAAATAAATAAATAAGTAAAATCTTTAAAAAAAAAAAAAAAGAAAAGAAAAAAACCTGAAGCAGGCCTAGAAAATACACAGTAGGATTTTGGCAGGAAAGTTGGTATATGCCCAGGGTTGGGGAGGGAGCTGACCATTCCAGGCAGAAGAAACAGCCTCAAGGTGAGACTCTGGGGGAGCGGTGGGCTAAAAGGTAGGGCTACTTCATTATTTATCGTTTAAACAGAACAGGTTTGGGGCACGTGGGTGGCTCAGTCATTAAGCGTCAGCCTCAGGTCATGGTCCCAGGGTCCTGGGATCGAGCCCCATATCGGGCTTCCGGCTCGGTGGGAAGCCTACTTCTCCCTCTCCCACTCCCCCTGCTTGTGTTCCCTCTCTCGCTGTGTCTCTCTCTGTCAAATAAATAAATAAAATCTTTAAAAAAATTTTTTAAAAAAATAGAACAGTTTTGAGGATGAAAAGGGACACTATTAATACTTACGCCGAGACCACAGGCAGAAACCAGGGCCATGCCCGGGAAATGGAGACTGACTCAGATAAATCAGGAGGTACAGTCACCCACCAGGAATTGGGCAGGGCCCAGATCGGGGGGGATTTTCCACCCCGGACTGAGAAGTTTGGACCTTAGGCTTACTGGGAATCTCTGGGAATCTGATCAAAGCAGCCATTTAGGGAGGAATGGAAACCATGCTGTAAGATGCTCACGACACGTAGCAGGGTGAGGATGGAGGGCTCCTGCTCTCCCTACCTGACATGGCCTGTGGTCCCTGCTCCAGCAGGAACACCTCATTCTCCCATATGTCCTGTTGGACCTACCACAAGACATGCCCAGCCAGTGTGTGGGACTTGAGAAAGGGGAGAGAAATTGATGGCATAAGACTTGTCTCCTTCCCCAGGGGAGCTGCCCCGTTTTGCAGAGAGATAAGACTTTCAGGTGTTACACAGGGAGCAATATGCAATTTGCAAACTCTAGTGTCATTGAATCTCAAAAGGCACAATTGAGGCAGGGAGCGTTTCTGGTGCTAGGAGGGGAGAGGTCAGGGTGGCCTGGATCTTCAGACAACATGCCAGGAGCGTGGAACTTGAGCATCGTGGGAAGGATTAAATTTTGGCTGGTGGGGAGGTGGGGAGGTGGGGAGGGCATTCCTGGTAGTAGTGTAGCAGAGCTGGAATGAGCAGGTCATGTGTAAGGGACAGGAAAAAAATGAGCTGGTGGGGACCGAAAGGCACAGACTTCTCTCAGGAGCACGGCACACGAGTGAACGGCAGTGGGAATTCTACTTTTCCCCTTCCCCCGAGTGCAATTCTGAGCAGAGGGGAGAGGCAGTTTGCAAAGCCAGTAGAGCACAGGGATTAAGGGACAGACTTAGCAGCAAGACTGCCTGGGTCCACACACTGCCCATTCACTGTGTGACGTGGACAAGCTCCCAAAGTACAATAACTATACCTACCCCAGAGGATGACATGAGGACTGTGGGAGGTTATTCCTAGAAGTGCTTAAAGCAGGGCCCCGCACACAGGAAGCACTGAAGTAGTAGCTCTCAGCCCTGGCTGAACATTAGAGTCGCCCACCAGGAACTGGTATTCACCATTCACTATAATGGTGAATACAGGTCATTACGCACTCATCCAAAAGCATGGGCGGTGCAACACGAACAGTGAATCCTAATGTAAACCACGGACTTCGGGTGATAATGATGGCTCATGTAGGCCCACTGCTAGTAACAGCTCTATCACTCTGGTGGGGGATGCTGACTGTGAGGGAAGCCGTGTGTGGGGTGGGTCAAGGGCGGACATGGAAGCTGGGCTTTCTGCTCAGCTTTGCACTGGACCTAAAACTGCTCTAAAGAATGAAGTATTTAGGGCGCCTGGGTGGCTCAGTTGGTTAAGCGACTGCCTTCGGCTCAGGTCATGATCCTGGAGTCCCGGGATCGAGTCCCGCATCGGGCTCCCTACTCGGCGGGGAGTCTGCTTCTCCCTCTGACCCTCCTCCCTCTCATGCTCTCTGTCTTTCATTCTCTCTCTCTCAAATAAATAAATAAAATCTTAAAAAAAAAAAAAGAATGAAGTATTTAAAAAGGGGAGAAATACCAGGGTCAGGGCTCTACCAAAAAAAGCAATTAAGCAGCATCTCAAGGGTGAAGGGCTTCACCAAGGGTATTTTCTAAGCTTCCCAGGTGATTCTAAAGGATAGCCAGAGCTCAGAAGCACTGAGCTAAATGAATGTTAGCTCTTGTATGATCGTGAAGGAGGTAGGGGAATTGGTAAATTGATGGAAGAGGAGGGATCTTTGCCTGGGCATGTATCAGGAGTGATTTTTGGCTCTCTTGTGGCACAAAAGTGCTAAGCTTTTGACAGCATTTTGAACCTCTGGGAGCAAAGCAGGCTGACCAGATATTCTTTAAATAAGAATGAGCAAACTGACTTCAGAAAGGAAAAAAAAAACCCTGCAGCATTACTACCATCAGGCTTAGTTAATAGACAGCTGAACCCTCTTATCAAAAGAAAACTCAAGGGTAGTTGGAAACAGTCCCTACCACGCACCCAGGCTAGCATAATGCCAAGAATGTGTCCAGAAATCTCAAAGTACATTGTGACCATAGAAAAACTCCTACATTAAATTGTAAATCCATCTTTGAAAGACATGGCATCTTGAGAACAGGACCGAGAACAGGACACCCCTAGACACTGGAGGACTCAGAGCTCGTTTATAAAAACAAGTTAGCTTAGAATCCAGAACGACCAGTACTGCTAACTCAGCAAACACCCAGCACGCCCAAAATCAAACTCTGGAATTTCCTATCCAAACCTACTTCTTGTCTCAAAAAAAAAAAAAAAAAAAATTGTCATTCGTTCTACTAATCATTCATGGGGCACACTTCAGAGTCCCATTTTTCATTCCCCTTCTGCATCCAATCCAGCAGGAACTCTTGGCAGATGGATCCAGAACCTGGCAGCTTCTTTTTTTTTTTTTTTTTTTAAGATTTTATTTATTTATTTGAGAGAGAGAATGAGACAGAGAGAGAGAGAGCATGAGAGGGGGGAGGGTCAGAGGGAGAAGCAGACTCCCCGCTGAGCAGGGAGCCTGATGCGGGACTCGATCCCAGGACTCCAGGATCATGACCTGAGCCGAAGGCAGTCGCTTAACCAACTGAGCCACCCAGGCGCCCCAACCTGGCAGCTTCTTGCCACCTGATCCAGGACCACCCTGGATTGGGCCACTTCCTCCCTTGTCTGGATCGTGGCATTGCTGCTTGCGGGTCTTCCTCGCTCTGCCCTGTGTCCTCTGCAGCAGCCACAGTGACCTTGCATGCCCCCACCTCCAGCTTCCTTCTGCCCCTGCTGGTCCCTCTGAAGAGAACACTCTGCCCCAGAATAATCCCACCACTGTCCCACTCTTACCCTCCCCACCTGTGCTCATGGCATCTCAACAGAAACAGCTTCCTTCTGAGACTCCTTCCTTTCCCTGCCCTCCTTTACTCT